TTTGGTGACTAATTATATGAAATTAGTTGCTGTTGATTTTTAGTGGACACAAGAATATGCAAAGTTATGAGCTAATATTTGAAGAACCTAATTTCAGGCAAAAGAATAATGCTATTGAAATTTGAAAAAAAAATTGTTTTCATTTTGCATCTTTTCAAATACTTGCCCGATCTATTTTATAATGTATCAAACATTCAGTGTCAGAGTCCTGCTTCAAGGATTTTACTGATTTTCAATTCGGTTAATCTCATTGTATTGTTATTAATGATGAACCCCTATCACTAGTTCTGTCTCTGTTCAATAGTCTTTCCATTATACAATTTGAACAAATCATGAACTTGTACTCAAATTGAGATTTGCAGAATCTGCAGAGACATGGTTTGAAAACTCTTGCCTAATTTGGTTTGGTACTGTAGTCTGCTTTAATTTTAATCACCTTGATCTTTGCAACAGGAAGAAATCAAGAAATTTGCTTTCCATGCCTAAGAATTCATTATTAATGTGCTGGAAGGAATATACTTCTGTAGAATGATTGGTACTCCCATACAGTAGGCTATTCTCAAATGACCTTCGAATAAGTGTGTTACAGGAAAGTACTTGCATTTTGTAAACAAGAATGTTGCACTTAGTGGAAAATCTTCAATGCGAGAGATGATATTTTAACATAATTAACTCCTGGTTAGTTCCACTCAAAGCCTAATACAAATGTATTTAAGACAGTGGAAATGGGGAACAGTACAGCTATTTTAGCCCCCAAATACATTAATAATCAACAGAATGGTAATTGTCCGTGATTGTCAGTTTCATTTGTAGAGCTAGAAATATGTTGACTAATTATTTGGTGGAGACCACATTGATTAAGTGTGATATTTGATGGAACTTGAGTATGGCTGAAAGATTTAAAATTCCTGTTTCATTAGGAATTGTGTTCTGCATTTGGTGAAAGTGACAATGAAATTGACTCGTCAAAATTGTTTGACTTGGATGAAGGAAGGGAAGGCAAGAAGCTAAATTTGCAGACACCAAAATGGGTATGCAAATTTGTTGTGAAGAAACCGTAAACAAGTTGCAGGTAGATATAGGCAGGTTGAGTGAGTAGAAGAAATCTCGGGTGAAGTGTAATGAAAAATATGAAGTTGTTCTCATCTAGCAGTAAGAGTGAAAAACGGTATAATTTAAATGGAGAACAATTGCAGAACTCAGAGGTGCAGAGGAATTTGGGCGTTCTGCATATGTCGCTATGGAGGCACAATACACATTCAAGAAGGCAAATGGGATGTCTGTTTTGTTACAAGAGGAATTGAATATAAAAGTAATGGTGTTATGCTTCAGTTATACAGGGCATTGGTGAGACTACATCTCCTAATGCTGTGTGCAGTTTTAGTCTCCTTATTTAAGGAAGGATGTAAATGCACTGGATGCAGTACAGGGGAGATTTCCTAGATTGATACCTGGAATGAGTTATTTGTCTTGTGAGGAAAGATTGACATTGTCTTCCATTGGAGTTTAGAAGAGTGAGAGCTGACTTGATTGAAATGGATTCTGAAAGATTTCGACAAGGTGACCAGGAAAAGGAGGCTTCCTCTTGTGGGTGATTCCAGATTAAAATTATTTTGGTAAAGTTCCTGTTTTCAGCCCTGAATGGATATAGACAAAAGATGACCTATAATCTTTGAGAGGCATTAAACAACAGCTACCAGACAACAACATTTAATTCAAAGACCATGGCTCGATATTAGGACCTCCTGTTTAAAGTTGCTATTATGTGACCTAGCCAAAAAAAGCAAGGACATCCAGTGAACATGTAGCCTGTTTGTATGCAGATTCTCCCATTGAAAGCTTCTAAGTGATAGTTAGTTATTTTTAAAATATCACTCTAGATTTTGGGCAAAGGTTCCCCTGCCTTTTAAATTGAGGCACCTTTGCAGTTGCATGCAACTTACTGCATGGAAATGGCCATATGGCCCAAGTAGTCTGTATCAGCATTTAGGCTCCGTATGAGCCTGTTCCCACTCTACTTATTCTAAACTGATCAACATGACCTTCCATTATTGTACTTGTATAGCTTTCTCTTAAATGCATCATTGTTATTTGTCCAAACTGCTCCATGCAGCAAATTCCACATTCTAACTGCTCTGTATGATGAAGTTTCTCCTTTTTTATTCCTATTTGGACATATTAGTAATGTCCCCTTTTTATATCTCCTCGTTATTTTCTCTGTCTACCCTATCGAACTGCATCGTAAATTTAAATACCTCTAATAGCTCACCCCTCGCCTTCTCTAGATAAATGAGCCATTAACTGAAAATGAAAGCTAAATGAAACATATTCAAAGGTATCTTGGTTGGTCAGGTCATTGCGAACTTGAGTAAGTTACTCTGAGGAGTTAGTTTCGGTATGGATTACTTCATGCTTCCAACCACAAGCATTCATTAGTTTTACAAAAAAAAATGTCAGCATAACAAGTGTAGGATTGTTTCATTGGTTTTAATCTTGCTTGTTTTAATGTAGAAATAAGTTAAATGTTGTTCTAATCAATTTTGTAATTTAAGGGCTGAAAATGAAAAGCTTAACATAAGCAAGGTAAAGCACTTGGTAAATAGACTTGATCTGCACTTCAGTAGTGGAAAATCAGTCTTATAATATTGAACACTATACCGATTTCTGTTTTCAGTTTTATATTTGCTAAGCATTGTATGTCTTCAAGTTTTCAATTGATTTCTAATTCTTCATTCTCAAACAGCTTCAGATCATTCTGATCCCTGTTGGTATCTCATACCGCCTTTGGAAGGTGCCCCAGTTGTGGAGAGTGATAATATCCCCTCAGCGAACGTATTTAACCACTGCTGACCTTGTCCCTCAAAGACCTACCTGTTAATGAGGATGTTGTGACAGTAGGAATCTTTATTGTGATACAATAGTGCATTAAATGCTGGACCATCCAGTGCCAGATGTCTGTCTTCCTGCGAGTGTTTCCCCTCTATCGTTTATGACGTTTTAATTGCAAGTCTCTCTTTTGCTTATCCACAATGCTTGCGGTTGACAGAAAAAATATCTATGTTTTCCCATGAATGTCCAAGTTGATCATTTGGGTAATGATTGTTTGAAGATCTTTAGATGACCATATGAAGTTGTGTATGAAACTGGTGGTTTAAGCATATTATCTGAACTCTTGCTATTATTGACAAAAATAAGGAAGATTCTGTTTGCTAGAATCTGAAACAAATTAACATTAAGAAGGTTTGGAGACATATTAGGGCAAAGAAGTTCATTTGATATCATCCAATCAATTTAATGAAATTTATTCCCTTGTTTTGGGTTTCCCTGCCAAACCTGATGTTCAAGTCCCATCTCTACTGCTGAATGGCTTCCTAGGCCAATTCAGAGGTAACTTTCAGTCCTACTGTTTCAGTTTCTTCCCCCCCCCCCCCTCACCAGCCCCTGCCCTCTCGGGTTCCTTCCTGCCCTCTTTTTGTTTTCTTTCTCCCCCCGCCCTCGTGTTGCCTAATCTGCATTGTCTCGCAGTCTAGCAACATCTCAACTTTATAGTTGAGTATCCTTGTATTCCACACTGGTGGCCTTTAGCTATTTAGTCATAAGCTCTGGAGTTCTTCCTTTGCATCTCTTCATACCTTTCTTCTTTCATCTTTAGGATATCCCTTAAAGATTAGTCAGAGTTAAGTTTTTTTTTGTTACTTATCCTTATACCTCCACGTGTGGCTTGATCCTTCTGTTTGATAAAATTTTTGTACGACAGCCTGGAATAATTTTACTGTATTAAATATAAATGCAAGTTAATAGTGAAATAATTTCCTTTCAGGAGTCAGAATGATCAAAGTGACTTTCTTTATGCAGTTGAATGCTGAAGCACGGAATACTTTAGGGGACGGTTTGTGAGAGTGGTTGTGGCATCTTGCAAGGAATGTGTTTGAAACAGAGGAAGATGTAGGGTATGGGGCACATAACCTAGTGGAACTGAGTTTGAATTATTCTGCTGTAGAGCTTCTACGCAAACATTTAGTCAATTGACCTGTTCTTATCCTGTGAACATTTCTTGATTATCAGGGAGCTTAACACATCAGCCAGTGGTCTTTTAGAATCTGCCAGGTAATTGAGTTTGAGGTATTATTTGATAAACAAACTTAAACAAATTAATGGTTCCTGTTTCCCAAAGTGCAGGGTGCATTTTGACTACCCTGTTATCTTGTGCTACAACAGTGGTCTCTGCCTGATGAGCAGATGGTGGGTTAATTGCAACAGTAATATGTGGGGAGGAATTGAACAGGAGAGGAAAAAACTGCAGGTATATGGGGCTAGAGTGAGGAAGGAGTAGAGCCAATGTACTTTTCGAAAGAGCTGGTGAGACCTGATGGTATCTATCTTTGTTATATTGTAATTCTACAAATTTACAAGTTTTGAAAGTATTTCAAACTGAATTTCATGAAAAAGCACAATGTAATCTCCTAGTAAATTCCTGGACTATGAATATTCTGGTTTTTCACTCCAAAGGATCTGACTAATTGCTTTTTATAGATTTGTTTTTAATTATTTGAACATTGGCAAAAAATGTCAGTTTTCACAAGTTTTGAAATACTTCAGAGCATTTGCTGGTTAGACTTGTTTGTGCTAAACTTTCAGCCTTGTCACCTAAGGAAGTGCCTTGTGAATCACAGGAGGTGATGAATGATTGAAGCTGCTTAGTGATATGCCAACATCATACTAAGAACAAACAAACTTCCCAACTGAACCTTAGTCATATTTACACACAGATTTAACCACCAGCTATTTCCAGTTGAAGCATTTTGTTGAGGAGAAACAGCTGCTTGTTTTTATTTTGTTGTTTAAAATCTATCCTCGTTTTGCATCGTAAGGTGACAGCACACTAACCTATATTTCTTTCTCTTCAGTTACTCAAATTTTACCTTCATTTGAACACCACATCTGCTGTGCTATTATACATTACTGTAACTAAAATTGTTTTTAAATTCTTTTTGTCTTAGCTCAAGAGAAGGTTGGGCAGCTGGCAAACCAGATGACAGTAGAAAATCGTTCCTGTGTGCTTGTTCGTCGTGATTTGGTTGCACTCCCTGCTAGTCTCATCAGTCAGATTGGCTACAGGTGTCACCCAAAGCTATACTCTGAGGGTGATCCTGGTGAAAAGCTTGAACTTGTCTCAGGTAAACATAATTTAATATCTTGATCAGTCAATTGAGAAAGATCGCTTGCTCAGCGAGTTACTGAAAAATGAACAGAGATATTGGAATCATTTGTTATAACTTTCCAAAAGCCATCAGTTTCTGGAGAAGTATAAGAGGATTGGAAAGCTGCTAATTTGACACCATTATTCAAAAAGGGTGGGAGGCAAAAGCAGGAGACTATGCCAATTAGCCTATCATTTACTGTAGTAGTAGTAGTAGTAGTATTGGAATTGATTTTGTTAAGCAAGTAATAGCAGAACATTTGGAAAATCATAACCTAATCAAGCAGAGTGAGCATGCTTTCATAAAAGGGAAGTAGTGTCTGACTAATTAGAATTTTTTTGAAGAAGTCTCAGAGTGGATATAGTAGACTTGATATATTTGGACTTCCAGGAGGCATTCATAGAAGGTTAAGTCATAAGATAAGAGCCCATGGTGTTGGAGTGGTATGTTGGCATGGTTAGAAAATTGGCAAATAGGCGGGAAACAATAGTGAGGGGTTCTTTTTCAAGTTGATGATCCATGATCATGGGGTTCCACAGGGATCAGTGCTGGGAATACAACTGTTTACAATAAATATTATTGACTTGGAGGAATGATTTGAATGTACTGTAGCCAGATTTGCAGACAGCACTAAAATCGGTGGAAAGGCAGGTTGTGAGAGGGAAAAAACAGTTTGCAGAGAGGTATTGATAGGTTGAGTAAGTGGGCAAAAAGATGGCAAATGGAGTGTAATATATGAAAAAGTGTAGTTGATTTTGGAAGGGAGAACAGAAGAACGGAGTATTATCTAAATAGAGAAAAACTGCAGAATGCTGCAACACCAAAGGGATTTTGGGGTACTTGTGCATGAAACACAGAAAGCTAGCACACAGGTGCAGCAGCTAATCTGGAAGGCTAATAGAATGTCAGCCCTTATTTCAAGGGGGTTGGATTACAAGAGTAGGGAAGTCTTACTGCAACGTACAAGGTGCTGATGAGACCACATTTGGTGTACTCCTAGCAGATTAAGATATCATTTCATTGGAGGTAGTTCAGAGATGGTTCACTTGGATGATCTCTGGTGTGGAGGCATTGCCTTATGAGCAAGAGCTAAACAGATTGGGACTCTCTTCACTGGAGTTTAGAAGAATGAGATGATGTCATCAAAATATATAGGATCTTTAAGGGGCTTGACAAGCTAAATACTGAGAGGATGTCTCCCCTCATGGGAGAGTCTAGGACCAGAGAGTATAGCCTTTTGATAAAGGGATGCCAATTTAAGACAGAGATGAGGACGAATTTCTTCTGAGGGTTGAGTGTCTTTGAAACTCCTTGCCACAGAGCTGTGAAGGCAGAGTCCTTGTGTATATTTAAGGCTGAGAGAGATTTTTGACCAGTAAGGGAATCAAGGGTTATGGGAAAAATGTAGGAAAGCGCTTCAAAGGAATGTTGGATCAACCAAGATCCTATTGAGTAATGGAGCAGGCATGAGGGACTAAACTGCATACTCTTGTTTCTGTTTCGTAGGACTTGTGGTCCTATCAAACAGGAAAAATATGTTGATCTTCAGACTGATTCTTTGTAACAATTTCCAGTAAACCATTGAGCCTAGTGCATGCTTTTTTGATGCCTCGTTTTAATTTCTTTTTGATTTTTAAATACATTTATTCTTTGCCCACGGTGAGTGGAACCTTATTATAACCTATTTTAACAAGAGGGCTGAGAAGTGGAAATCCTAGCAAACTCTGTTATTGAGGGCAGCTGGGAGAGACCTCACTGGACAGAAATGTGTTCTAAGTGGGGTGAATTATGGTCCCGTGGAGAAGAGAGTGAAGTTGGAAAGTTGATCCTAAAATCAAATTGAGTGAGTGGATGGAGATTGATCAAAAATTCATTCACAATGATCAATGATCAAGAGCTGTATGTCACTAGACTGATGTGCATATGTGCTGTAGGGTTACAGGTCAGCCCTTGTGATGCATCTTTTGGTTCTGCACCTTTGGTTGACCTAGTTTAAATTCTGGACTATAACATATTTTAAAACTCCAGTGAAAGGTAGCGCTATTCATGAAGTAAGTTGACAACACAATGAGCACAGATTGGTTTACGTTGAGCTGTGATAATGCCTACATTTGCAGTTGTGAATGCTGATGGACAAAGAACCAACTAACAGAAGGAGAAGATTCTATAATTAACCCCAGCCTCGTCATTGGGAAATATTTAAAGATGAAGTAGATTTTTAAAATTGAGGAGTTGAGGGCTATTATTACCTGCCATGAAAGAGGTGAAGTCTTGGGCAGATCGTCCATGATCTCATAAAATGGTGGGGAAGGCTTAAGGGCCGACTCATGCTCTAATTTCTTATGTTATGGCAGCTACTGGAATTTTAAGTTCAATTGGATGCTGGTAGTAGATAGAAGGCAGAGATCTGCAATGCTGCGTTCTGTAGATAAATCTACAATCGAGAAAAGGATTCATGTTAAATTTTGTACTTCACCATCTGGCTTGGAACTACTTAAAAATAGTCAAGTCATTGATCTTTCTTGCATTGCAACTAAATGGGACAGGCTGGATGAGAGAGCTAGTCTTTTACTGACCATCTTTTCTGTCTGTTACCTTTTGGCTTGTAGCTCTTGAGCACACGCAATGGTTTATTTTTAACAGTGCCAAAGTTGTCTGAGCAACAGCAATAGGTTTAAAGCACCCAGATCTATCAGATATTCTAGTAAAATGCAATTTCACTTGAACAATAATTTTTGTTTTGTCTTCAGTATCCTGCATACGTCTGCTGTATATGTATTATGTCAGTGGAGATAATGCAGTCCCTAGCATAAATGTGCCAAGCAAACATCCATCAGATTTTGAGCTGCAGTGATTATCTTTTCAGTTAGCAATTCTATAAACTAATTGGACTTGCAGCGGTTTAAATGCACACAAGTTATGTTTTTGTACCCAGCACAGTTAGATTTTGGTTTCAAACAATTGGCCCTTACATGCGATGATATACTGGCCTGTCTCTGTACATGATGTAATCCTGCAGCATTGATGTCTGATCATTCTCCACCTGTATTCCATGCTTACCTGTCTAGTGTCTTCTAATTTGTTTAGCTCCAAGCAGAAAAACCTTCTCAACCACGTGTTCAAACAAATACCTTTTTGCTCTTAGTAACTTCTTCCACCTGCATACTCTTCAGATCTTTTCAGTCATAGAGATGTACAGCATGGAAACAGACCCTTCGGTCCAACTCGCCCATGCTGACTAGTTATCCTAACTGAATCGACACCGTTTTGCCAGCATTTGGCCCATATCCCTCTTAAACCCTTCTTATTCATGTACCCATATAGATGCCTTTTAAACGTTGTAATTGTACCAGCCACCACCACCACCACCACCACCTCCACCTCTGGCAGCTCATTCCATACACACACCACACTCTGCATGAAAAAGTTGCCCCTCAAGTCCCTCTTAAATCTTTCCCCTCTCACCTTAAACATATGCCCTCCAATTTTGGACACCCCTACCCTGGGAAAAGACATTGGCTATTCACCCTATCCATGCCCCTCATGATTTTGTAAATCTCTATAAGGTCGCCCCTCAGCCTCCAACACTCCAGGGAAAATCACCCCAGCTTATTCAGCCTGTCCCTATAGCTCAAACCCTCCAACTCTGGCAACATCCTTGTAAATCTTTTCTAAACCCTTTCAAGTTTCACTATCTTTCCTATAGCAGGGAGACAAATCAAAGGCAGTATTCCAAAAGTGGCCTAACCAAAGTCCTTTACGGCTGCAACGTGACCTCCCAACTCCTCTACTCAATGCACTGACCAATAAAGGCAAGTGTACCAAAAGCCTACTTCACTATCCTGTCTACCCATGACTCCACTTTCAATGAACTGAGAACCTGCACCCCAAGGCCTGTTCTTGTTCAGCAATACTCCCCAGGACCTTACCAGTAAGTGTATAAGTCTTGCCCTGATTTGTCTTACCAAAATGCAGCATCTCACATTTATCCAAATTAAACTGCATCTGCTGCTCTCCGGCCCATTTGCCCATCTGATCAAGGTCCTGTTGTGCACTGAGGTAACCTCCTTTGTTGTCCACTACACCACCAATTTTGGCGTCCTCTGCAAACTTGCTAACCGTACTTCTATATTCACGTCCAAATCATTTATATAAATGACAAAAAGCACTGGCCCCAGCACCGATCATTTCGGCACGCTGCTGGTCACAGGCCTCCAGTCCAAAAAGCAGCCCTCCACCACCACCCTGTGTCTCCTACCTTTGAGCCAATTTTGTATCCAGATAGCTAGCTCTCCTTGTATTCCATGTGATATAACTATGCTAACTAGTCTACCATCTGGAATATTGTCGAACAACTTACTGAAGTCATATTAGTTATGTCCACCACTCTGCCTTCTTCAAACTTCTTTGTCACTTCTCCAAAAAAAAGCTCATTCAAGTTAGTGAGACATGATTTCCCACACGCAAAGCTATGCTGACTATCCCCAGTCGATCCTGGCCTTCCCAAATGTAAATCCTATCCCTCGTAATCCCTCTAACAATTTACCCATCACTGACAGGCTTACTGGTCTATAATTTCGAGCTTTTCTTACCACCTTTCTTAAATAATAGCACCACATTAGCCAACCTCCAATCTTCCAGCATCTTACCCTTCAATTCTTACATTTTACACTACCCCAAATTTGATGGCTTCACCTGGTAGCTATGTATTTGGGCTCTGAGGCCACCGAGGCCAGTGCTGCTTAATCTATTACCCAGTATGACCCTGTTTCGAGCATTATAAAAGGCTGCCTTTTTAGAGTACGAGCACAGCTTTTGTAACTCCGTCGAAGCTGTGTGGTGGCTATTGCTGCCTTGGAAGTTGGGACCCTAAAATTTCACTTGGAGTCCCAACTGTCATTTTGGGAAAACCGGCCCTAAGCTCCTCCGTATCTCAGTTTCATATTTTAAAATTCATTAATTGGAAGCTACTACTT